TTACTTAAATGCACATTGGGAGGAAGCACAAAACGGAGTCAAGTGACATTTTAGGCGTTTCAGTCCCAGGTCACGTCTTGAGAAAATTGCTGAAATAATGGAGGGGGCATTTTTCAAGCAGAGCTGCAGCTCCAACAGCTCTGTTTACTTTAACGCTTCACTAGTGACTTCTGATTGGTTGTCATGACCTCATCTCACTGTTGCACCTAGAATGTTGCAACAGTGACATAGACATACCCTTTTTGGGAAAAAGATGAGAATAAATACAACATACATCTTTCAGAAAAGATGAATGGACAGTGGTTTGTCCATTTTAACCATGGGTATATGTAGTTTATATGTAGGTAAAATGCTTTGGGTTTCATTTCCCTTGAGGATGAGCACCTTTCTTCTTTCAAACCAAGCAGATAGAATGCTGAACTTGGAAAATATGATTGATCAATCTGTGTAAAATGATCTTTACAGAGCTTTGCCTGAAGACCAAAACAGAGAGTTCCATAGGTCAGAGGATTCTACTCTGGCCCCTGACCTCTTTGGTCACATGTGACTTACAGTATTGGCAGGTTAATATGCAGAGCTGAGTATTTTCACCTGATTTTTTTATTTAGCCAACCATAGGAGATTTGAAAAGATGTAGAATTTTCTCCTATTTTCTATTTTCCTTATAAGTAGTAACTAATAGGCAAATTAACTTGGATAAATCTTCAGTTTCAGCAAGATTTTGTTGGGATCAAAATACATTCTGGCTTTGGTCAGACATGGAAACGTTTTATCTATCTGTAGAATCTTCTTGACAAGTACATTTCTATACTGATTTAATTCCTTAAGCAAGGTTTCCTCTTTGGTTCTTGTGTTTGGCATCACCTGTCTGTTTTAGACCTCTGACCTAAGCCATCATTTGTTGATTCAATGATAAATGAATGATTATTTATTAGTAAGTGCATCTATAGACTTAAAAGTAAAGGAGGCCTGCAGGCCTGCGCTTCTATGTAAATCACAGCAAGCCCTTGTGCTGAATAAACTGTATGTCTAGCAATAAAATTTTGAGGGTTTCTGATTAAGATTCCATGGTTTAGGCCTTATAAACACACTTCTGAAAATGAAACTACAGTTATAGCTACAAAGGATAGAAAATGGAATGAGATAAATGGAAAAGATTATCCTCTTGATCACTTTCTTGATCTTCTACTAGACTGTGCACTCAAACCTAATAGTTAATTAACAACTTTATATATACTTTGTCTCTTCAAATGTTGGATATTAGAATTGATTTGGGTAAATCATTAATCAGGATGCCAGAAGTTTTATTTATTTAGTTGTAGAATGTTAGATAATCAGTTTGATCATTTTGTCTTGTTAAAGATAACAGAAGTTTCCATGTATGTTTGAAATGACCTGCCTTTTCATCTTATGAGAAATTTAGCATGAATAATTAAATATAAAAATAATACTTCACTATAAAACGTTTAAGGTTGTAAGCATTAGTTATGGAGGCCTCATTAGAGTGGCAATGCACGGTTCTTTTATGATATTATATCTGATGCCTGGTTTTACAAAGTTTTGTAAAACTTTATGGGTACTTTTGTTATAGGTCAAACTAGGATCTCTTTTTATTTATTTCTTTGTGTATAGATTGAGTTATTGGGAATAGAGAGAATTTTTAAAATGACATTTATTCTGATTTTTTAAGATATAAATTGATATTGCATTTACAATGGCTAAGTTTAGCTATTGATATGCTATCTGCCTTGTTTTGCTTTGACTATTTACTCTGATACCCTGGTTTCCATGTATTAATGTTGACATGGCAAAAATCTTTTTAGCTTTAATATATAAAGAAATTTTTGGACAAATTTATATGTGACAGAGAAAAGGAGGAGAAGACAAAGTTTTACTAGTACCTGTGGTTAGAGCATGTAAGTGGGATAGTTAACTATATTTTGTTTCTCCAGTTTTCTCTTCCTCATTATAAAATGGTTATTGATGGTCTCTGTGAATATCGCATTAATTATCAGGAAAATTTTAATTGAAAAATGTAAGTTTTTCACAGAATGGTAATTGAATTTGTAACAAAGACATTTATTAAAATTAGCTCTCATTTCTGCAGAAAATGTTCCTGAATATTTCTTGATTGTTATTCCATTAATTAAATTGGCAGTATGAAATATCTAAATGATAAAATATTTTCTAAATAATTCAGGTGTTTAAAGAGCAGCATTCATTGTTGAAATCTAAATGCTAAAAATTCTTTAATTGATTTATATACTAGTGATTTAAAAATAGAATCATTTTTCATCAGTTGATGCCTCGGTGAAAAATTGACATTGTGTCTTTATAAAATTGGACAAATGAGTCATGTAATTTTCAGTTACATAATCAATAACTTAGACAAATACTACTTCTTTGATGATTTGTGTGTGTCTGTTTTTTGTACTTATTTAGATCGGACACATCAAATTTCAGTCCATTTAAAATCAAGTAGGCGCAGTAATTTTTTAATCAATGATTTCCAAAAATTGAAGTAAAAACTTCTGCTCAAATAAATGTGGTATTATGAAAATATTGTATCTAGTGATTAAGTTAAAAATTAAGGGGAAAGTTTTATAATTCTAGTGACTGTAAATTTTATCGAAAGAGTTTACCTTTATTTGGAATTCATTCATGGTGCAAAGGTGGTGCTCATGTTCTATCAATTTATTAAAGTCCCACTTTGTTACATTGAGTTTGATGTTTTTCATGTTATCATTAAAATGTAGCATATCACTACTTTCATCTCTAAAAATTCTAAGATTCTATTTTGGGTTTGCTACTTCTAACTCATATGTGAGTATGAGAGACTGTGTGCATGTGCGTGCGTGTGTGTGTGTGTGTGTGTGTGTGTGTTTAAAGTTCAACTCACTCAGGGAAGGCAGGGAAGAAACATGACAGGAGACCACTTACTCACGGTACAGAATCTAGTAAGGAGGCAATTTTCTTTTTGGCCTATGGTGACCTTTTTTGACTATGTTCCTTACACAGAGACAGTGTATGAATGCCTCTATTTCACCCTGTTTAGCAGAGTGCAACAGTGTTCTTTAACTTACTTTTGGTGGGAGGAGAAGTTATAGCTGAAATTTGAGAAGGGCGTGAAAAGTTGTAAGAGGCGCAAGGAAGAGGGGTAGGAACTTCCTTCAAATGTGATTTTAATAACTAGTCAAGTGTGTCCAACTGTAGAAAATCACCAAGTGACAATCTGTCTACCTGACAGTGATCACAATGAATTACAAGACTTTTGAATAGCTATACAGATTAGAATAAAGCAGGACCAAATAAAATATCTTTTGTTGGTAAAACTTTGACTTACCAGCTAAGATACTTAAAAAGAGAAACAAGAAAAACCCTTTATCTTGTGCTTTGATGTAGAACGTTTAAATTTGTAAAATATTTTATAACTTCTCATAAAATAGGTATTTATTTAAAAGTTTTATTTGAACATGTATTAAAGAATATGTGGTATTTTGTTAATCAGTTTGGTATGTATTATATAGTTTTCATGTGTGCAAGACAACTATATCTTAATTAACAGTACTATCACTAAAATCACAACTTTAATGAACTTCACAATCTGCAAACCATATTATGGTTTTAGACAATAATATCAACTGGAGGAAAAAATTGAAAAATCCCATTGAAGTTTTTATGTAGATTGTGAAATCGACCATTAAACCAACTATGTGCAGCAGTGTAGCATATTTAAAAATAAGATAATTATCAGTGCTAATATTACTCTATTATTACTGCCATCACTTTTTTAAAAAATCATCTTCTTATGGTTGGTTTGGCAAAAAACAAATTTTAAACTTGAAGTAGTTCTACACTTATAGTTTTGGAAAAAGTATATACTTTTCTTTTTCAGTAAGGGTGAGATTTTTCAAGCTTTATTTTCCATAGCTCTTACATGTTTTTATTGTAATATAATACATTTTTAAAATATGACCTTACAGGATTTTACAAGGCAAAATTGGGACACCCACAGTACAAAAGTGAATAGAAAATATAAGACATTAATAGCTTCACAAATTTATGTTGCACATGCTTGTCAGTGGAAATTGTTTATTCTTCTCTACTTTCTCGTGGTTTGATTATTCCATCAGTTATAACTTAATATAAATACCAAAAGTTTTCCTAATTATAACCATAGAAATGTTTGCCTTGCTAGAATTGTCAGACAGGAAAATATATCTTTAAAACTTTAGAGAAGGTATAATAGCTCAGTAAGCTGTATTTTAGACTTTGGGACTTGTTTTCTGGTACTGGTCCCTAATAAAGAGAAATTTTTATGGTGGTTAAAAATGAAAGAAATTTTAGGATTAAATAATTGCTTGCATGCATTATAGTAGGATATTATTTTGTTTTATGATTGTGTGGCCTCCTGAAAGAAGAGAGGTGGAAAAATACAAGGTGCACAGGTAGACATTATATGTTTCTGATATTACAGATATGTAAATCTGTAGAATGTTAGGTCACATTTATTCCTTAATTGCTTATACGTTCTTGAATTCAAATAAATAAAAAATGCTCATTAAAGTGCAATTGTAAAAGAAAGAGAATCCAACAAAATAGGTTGTGAAATTTTAACTTCAGCTTCAAGGAGGCTATTTTCTCAAAATAGGTATTTAAATATTAATGTGGTTTGAAAGTGTACTTGTTACTTGATAATTTATTTCAATTATTTGGGGGGTTTTGAGAGATCTGAAGTCCTTTTTAAAAAATATAACCTTTGTAATCTTTATGTTACAATTTGGTCTTTTTATTCTTACAAATAATCTGTTTATTTACAAACAGGCAAACAATTTAAATAACTTTTTGTCGGAAAAAGTAGAACTATAGTCTTTTATAAAGAAATACTTTAGTGAATATGCAACTATATTAAATGACTTACTTTGAAATTTTACAGATTTTTTATGAATTGAGATGGTTTCTAAGGTTAAATTATGCTGCCTTCTTTGCTTTCAAAACAGGAAGGATATGGAGTAATAGTACTGAATCCCAATGAAAACTATATTGAAGTAGAAAAGCCAAAGATCCATGTACAGTCATCTTCTGATAGTTCAGATGAACCAGCAGAAAAACGGGAAAGAAAAGATAAAGTCTCTAAAGAAACAAAGAAGCGACGTGATTTCTATGAAAAGTATCGTAACCCCCAAAGAGAAAAAGAGATGATGCAGCTGTATATCAGAGTAAGTAATAAGATTATTACTTTCCTTCATTATTTCTTTTACTTTATTTGTATTTTATTTCACATATATTATTTTTTTAAAAAAAACTTAATTCTTTAATTTTCAACCATTCATATCCCATGGTTGTTACTTGGATGAAATGTTTTGTTTTTTTATTAAATTACAAAACACGTCATTCTTATTTCAGTGCGATATTTTACTTAAGTTTCAAAAGCGATTAATAATGCACCATACAAAACATCAGTCTTCATCTTGGGTGGTAATGGTTTTAATACATTCTTTTTCTATGAGCAACCATCCATCCACGGTGTTTCAGCTTAACTTCTGAAGGCAGATGGAGGGAGGAAGAGTAATTAATATCTTAATAAATATTTAAACTAGAATAGTTTAGGGATAGTGTAATGAGGGAACTCTCTCCTTTGCTCTTTTCTTACCCACTGAACCTTTGCACTTTGTAATGCTAGCAGCATGCGATCGTTATAGCAGTGCTGCCCAAGGAGTTCTGATTCGTAGGGGGCACAAACAATTTTATTTGAACTTTGACACATTCTGCTTGATATACATACTGTGCATTGTATATATGAGACAGATTTATGCAATTTTCAAAGCTTATGGGTCCTAGAAATAGAATTTAATAGTAAAACATGTCAAAAATGCTACCGGGTAAGTAAAATAGTAAATTGATATGTTTTTTAAAAGTGAGCAATTCAGAACATTTAAACATAGACAAATTAACACTTTATAAATTATTTTGTAGGATAGTAGTAAAGTTTCAAATTAATCAGTTTGAGCTATTTTTATATTTCCTTTAAAAGCTTACTAATAAAATATTTCATACCATCTTTGAGGGGAATATATAACTTTCTAAGTTATTTTCTTCATTCTAGTTCATTGCATAATCACTATACTTTTGGGAATTGCACTCCAAACATTCAAGACTGTAGGTCAGTTTGTTGAGTAAGTTAGGGCAGCTAAACAGTATGAAAGCAGCATATAAATTCTCAAGAGCCAAAAGGGTATCCAGACCAAGAATACCCAAAGCTCATCATACGGTGACTAAAGCAAAAGTTAGTGAGATTGTAGTATTTAAATTTCTGAAAAGCAACTCGCTATTTAATATATTTTTTGAAAAATAAAAACAGTGATTAGATTGGAATCAGTAAGTAGCTTGCTTGTTCTAATGTAGGTATATTACCGTTTTTCCTTCCTATGGCTGCCTAAGTATCATGATGTCACTTTCTGTATCAGTTTTCCTAAGCTTTTTAATTATATAATCCAGTCTGTCAACCACCATTCTTAGGACAGTTAAAAAAAAATTAATTCTGATATCCAGATTTCAAAAACGAATTGTAAAAGTTTTTAAATATACAAATCATTAAGAAAATTCACTGGCTTATGTAAAATGTAAACAAAAAGTGACTTTACGTATTTTTTTATTTCTTCTTAAAGTTTCTTTTATTAACCTATGATATATACAGATTATGCATCTATTTCTGACATCTGTTTTGTAGGTTTTATATCTTCTTTTCTATTTTCTCTTTCTCTTGTCACCACTGCATGGATATTTTGCTTTGTTCTCTTGTATGTATACATTTTCTGTTTTCTGTTTTCAAATCTGTTTTATTTATCTCTGCCTCTGTTTTTCTTCTTATATCAAGGAAGAAAAATCTTTTTATTTTGCTTCATTTTTAAGATCTCTCTTTCCCTTTGTCTTTTTTCTTTCACTCTCTTATCTCTTTTACACTCCTGCCATTTCTTTTTTCCTTATCATGTCTTTTTGCTTCTTTCTTTCTTGTCCCATTTCACTCATCAGTCTCAGTTCCCATTGAAAGCACTTAAAGCAAAAACAGACTCATTTAGATAATACAACTATATACCTGATAGTCTTAGTTATGAATGTCACTTTTCCTTAATAAAATGTCACTTTTCCTTTCTCTCAAAATCTTCTATAATTGTGCAAAATAGCAGAGTTAAGTTGGTACTCTTCAAACATACTTCTAGATAGTAAGGTGTGATCCGGTGGTTGAGAAAGAGAAGAATGATTCATGTTGTATAAGGTGTCTTAATTCTTAGGTAATTTTGACCCACTCGAGAAGTGACTTCTTGTACTCTCCTTTCCAATACATGTCTCCAAAAAGTGTTTGTAATTTTCAGACACAGAGCATGGTATGTGATGGGGATAAATTAGCATTAATTTATATACTTCTTAACTATTTACATTTTGAAATTGATCATCTATTCTTTGGAACAATCCCATGAGGTAAGTGGATCAAATAGTTTTATCCTTATTTTATAGTTAAGGAAACTGATGCACAGATGGCTCATTTTTGTCTAGGATCAAATAACTAGTAAATGGTGGAACTAAGTGTTGAAACCAGGACTTTTAATTGTAGATTCTTTCTCCCTTTCCTCTTTACCACATTGTTCTAACCAGTTGGAAACAAAATATATACATGAAATATGAAAATTAAAACAATTATAATAAAAGAAGCATGATATAAAGTAAATGACATCTGATGATTAATAGATTTTTGATCAGTTATTTAATAGATGCTGTTAAATATCTATAAACAATTCATATATAATACAAATTTAAAACATAAATAATAAATCACATAAATAGATTACATTATATGTATGTGTATACATACATAGTCTCTTTTAATAGGATCACTAATATTGATCCAGTTTTACATGAGAAGACCATGAGTCAAACTTAGTAATTTCCCCAAAGTCACGTAGCTCTTAATGTAAGCTCCATGAGAGCAGGGACTTAGTCTGCTTTGCTCACTGTTATATCCCCAGGGGTCAGAACAGAGTCTTCATAATAAATTTTTATTTGGTAAGTAAGGTGGTAGAGCCAAGATTAAAATCCCAAACTACTACTGTTTTTTTTTTTTAATATGTCCTGCATCATTAAAGTATGCTACTTGATTGTGAGAAAACTCATTCAAACAATCCAAAACAAACAAAAAATTACAATGTTGGTCCCCTACCCAGTCCAGTGGCTGAGAAAATATTACAAAAATTGATAATAAGAAGTCAGTTTCTCAAGATTTATTTAATACCTTGATCTATACCTTTTCATCTGAATATATAAAAGTGGGATATCCTGTTTTCCTTTTTAGCTCTATCATCAGGGTACTATATTTGGGTCAAAATGGAAATGTTTCATGATGACCTACTGCTGTTTCTGTTTTGCAGCCTTGCTCATAAGAGTAGAGCCAGGCTGCTATACTTGTTCTTTGCTGTACACACTTTGTGCTTTATGTAACTTTGCTTCCTGTTCTTTTCCTTCATCCAAATTCTATCCATGTTGTAGTGCCCAGCTGAAATCTCACCTTTTCATATCACCATAATCAGTGACCTCTCCTTACAGTGACTCATGGAAGTTAACTGTGATTGGTTTACTTATATGGAATTTATCATTTGCTGTCCTGAGATATCTCTTGTGTTTTTGTTTCATAATATTATTAATATTTATCTTTCATGCCTTTCCACTCCCCATAATATTGTAGGTCTTTGAGCATACTTTATCAGTCATTCCTTAAGAATAAACAGAAATGAGCTAATTTTTACAATAGTACAGAGCATACTATGAGGAGTCAGGAACTGATAATAAACCCACTCACTAGAATCCAATCCCCTGCAAGGAGACCAAAGCAAAAAGACTAGGCCTTAGTCTAAAGATAGCTAGATAATGTGACCTGCAGCATAGAAATGAGGGTTATTCTGGTATCAAACTGGAGCATAAGAGGACAAGTACTCAGACTAAGGAAGATCATTTAAAAGCACTTTACAGTATGTAGGTGGAATATAGGCAAAAGTGACTTGATGCAGATATATGTAATACTGAGTTGGAACCGCTTAAATATCTCTTCCCTAAGAGACTTAATTGTGGGCTGTGGTGATAGGAAGTAAATAAGAGAGATTAGACTCAGAAGGTTGAAAAAAAAAATGCTGCGAGGGGAAGGGGGAAGGAAATTACATGGCCACAGAAGGAAATATCCAAATGTGGAGGAGACATTTACAGAATAAGAATCTTGGCAAAGCCTGGCATTACACACTGAAGATACTCAAATATTTATGGCTTGATTGCTTGTTGACATCCATCAAAAATCTTATCCCTTAACATGAGAGATATTTGGTGTCTAGTTTTCTGACGGATTTTTTCAGCATTTATGTGAATTTTTGCAATTGTTCAGAAACAGCCAACTGATAAACTGAAGCTTTCTTTCAAAAAATATGTTTTTGATGCTCTGACTTGGATTATGTTCAGAATACTGCTGAAGGCTAATAAATATCCCATCTTCTTCTCTGAACCTGTTCTCTTCTGTGCTAGGGCCACTGGAGTCATTTCTATCTAGTGTTTTAGCAACCAAATTTTAATTTATTTATATTACAGTCAATGAATGTCTAATCTCTGGAACTATTTTATTTTCCTTGTATATTTAAGTATTTGAATTTTCTTTTTTTCTGGAATCTGTTAAAAAGCCAAAATCTCCTTTCAAATTTTGTAAATATCCATTATAGACAGGCAGAAATAAAGTAGAATCCAGGCCTAAAACTTTAAGATTAGCAAAGCATAGTTTTATTTTACATACTAAATGAGTATAAATAGATATGACTAACTATTGGATTATGTCGCACGTTTCGATGCATTAGAAGCAGAGCTTGAGAGATCAAAGTACTTACTGTTTCATGTGGCAACTTTCCTTAAGTATGAAATAATGTACTTTCTGGCATATATTATGGCTTATTAAGGGGATTGATTTGGTCTAGGCAATAAACATCATGTCAGACATGCCTGGCAGGAAAACCTGCTTAATATGTTTTGTAATAAGATGGAATTTTTTGTTCTCAAAAACATCTGCCAACTGAATTCAAGAGTGAAGACAGAAAATGTCATCAATTTAGTGGTAATCCTATAAATTTAGTTTCTTTCTGAGCAACACATAGCAAGACACACAAAATTCCCAGTGTTAATCACCACTGGTTAT